AGAACCCTTCTCCTAATTTTTTTATTTGACTTAGTCTAGAAGCAAAATAGGGGTGGAGGAAGTATCATCTTTGTCGCCTTTGCAAAAGTTACATGTAAATACTTTGTCCATTAGAGCTCATGTTCTAATCTCTTTATCAAGAGTTAGTTGCTGATATTTTCTAAGGTTCTCGTAAGGAGAATGAATCAAAGCAAGAAAACATTTATGTTCTATTTCATTCCTTTAAGATTAACATCTTGTGCAAACCACACCCTTTATTTTTGTAGTAATGATTTTATTTATTTTAAAATCCTAATTGGATTTCCTTTATTACGTGTTAAAAATGAATGAAAGTATGATAATGCACAATTTAGGTTATTTAAGAGTTCTTTTTTTTTCTTAGGTAAATCAGTGGGGATGACGAGCCTTTACCCGTTTTATTGCTAAACAAAGAAATATTACAAATACAACCATCAAACATCCTTTTGTAATGGAACATTAGAAATATCATGCAGGATAAAGGGGCATAATGTCTGGGGGTCGAGCCTGCCATACGGTTGCTTTTGCCAATGACACTGCCCTTTTTTCCAAGCAATCAGCAACTATGTTCGCCTCCCTAAAAACATGAGAGATCTGCCATTGATGGTATGCAAAGGAGGAGAGTCGGGCCCTTCAATTGGACAAAAGAGTGTGTAGCTTCTATAGGGGTCTACTATCCTAGGTCATAGATTCAACGAGTATTTTAGAGTCACTCTCAATTATTAGGGGTTTGCAGTCTAGCTCCTTTGCTAGAGAGATGCCTCGGTCTAGATCATAAAACTCAACAGTATTGTTGGAGGTAAAACCGAGGGAGGCTGCAAAGCTTGCCACAAAACCCCCTATATTGTTTCTGATGATTCCCCCACAGCTAGTTGCGCCAGGATTCCGAAGGGAAGAACCATCAATGTTGAGTTTGTAGTGGCCCGTGGGGGGGAAGGACCATGCAACATGGGTAGGGATGAGAGGGGTCTCCATACACCACTTTAGCTTGAGATTTTTGGAGACGTTATTCTCTGAAGGATAGAAAGCCCAACCCTTCCCTTCTGCAAGCTTGCTATCGAGGTGGGTAATCCTTTGTGGAAGGTATTTTCGGGAAGTCCTCCTCCCTTCATGGATGCGTGCATTGCTCTCAGCCCACATGCACTAGATGGTAGAGGAGAAGATGGAGAGCTAGACATTTTTCTTGCCATTAGATTTAAAACGAAATTTGTTCCACTTTGCCATCATCATAATAGTTGATTACTAAAGCGGCTAAGTTTGCCAAATCTCCAAAATAAGGATCTCCAAAGAACCTGTAAGAAAACGCACTGCAGAATAATATGGTTAGTGGTCTCCTCCTCCTAGAGGCAAAAAGGGCATCTAGACACTAGAGGTAGGCCCCTAGATTGGAGCAAACCCATGGTGGACAAACGGGAATGCAGGGAGAGCCATGTGAACCATTTTCCTCTTGGGTGGGATGGGGTTTTTCACAAGGGCTTAAAAGATGGCTGGACAAAGGCATTAAGTCTCATGTAATCCCAAGCACTGCCTACTGAGAAATCACCATTAGCAGAGTCGATCCAAATCAGCTGGTCCTGTGAGGGGTGTAGAGGTAGCACATGTGACCACACTTCTGCCCAGGCTTGGATGAGTTAGCTGGAAGTAAGGGGTGGAAGATCCCGTCTATGCAGTGAACGTTTGATATGGTCTAACACCTTGAAGTTTGCCAAATTTCCTAGGGCATTGTGTGCATCTCCGCCATATTTCTCCCATAAGGAGTACTCTGAAAACCATGGAACTATTCAAAAGTCAATTAGGCTTCCATTGCCGATTATCCATATAACATTATTTTGCAATCTGTTTAACCCCAAGGTGACCCCCCTCCATGCATGTGAGCAACATCTAGGCTGGGCTAACCAAACCAATGAGTGGTGAAAGTATCTATGCTTAAAAAAAGAGACAATAGAGAGGAAGGTTTTGAGATAGCTCTCCAAGCCAACTTCACCATGCTGAAATCGTGAATATGACAAATCCCAAGACCTCCTTCTTCACTTTTCTGGCATACAATGTTCCACTTAACAAGATGAAGTCCCATGGTCTCAAGTGCCCTTGCCCAAAACAAGTTGCATTGGAGTCTTTCGATAGCATTGCAGGTGCGGTTCGAAAGATAGAATGAGAGTAGCCAATAGATAGAAGAAGCATTTAGGACCGATTTTAAGAGTTGTAGGCGCTCTGCAAAGGATAAAGACAAAGCTTGCCAGTACCCGATCCGAGATATAGTCTTTCCAAGTAAGATGTGACAGTGGGAGTGCCTTAAAGGACCATAAAGGAGAGGGAGACCAAGATATTTTGCAGGAAGTTCACCTGTCCCAAATTGGAGGGTATCGAGGACTTGAGCTCTCAAGCTTGCACCGGCTCCAAAAAACATAGCTTTACTCTTACTTTGATTAAGCTGTTGACCCATGCCCCTGCAAAAAACGTCAACAATATGTCTGACGGTCCACGCTGCTTGTGCGGAGCCCTTACAAAATTAAGTGCGTCATCCATATAGAGCAAATGATTGATCCTATAGTTACACCCTGATGGGAAGACGGGAGGGAGGTATATTTGGTTGCAATAGCCACATCAAGCATTGTACTAAGGTAGTCCATGACAAGGAGGAATAGGTAGGGGGAGAGAGGGTCACCTTGTCTCACCCCTTTTCCCCTTACAATAGCCCACAAGAGATCTATTGTGCAGTATAGAGAATGATGGGATAGTAATGCAGTGTTGAATCCATAATATAAAAATATCTGGGAATCCCATGGTATGGAGTTTATTTAAAATGAATTTCCAAGAGACCCTATCATATGATCCAGTTGAAGGTACGTTTTGGGTTTGGCTGAAGCTTTGTAGCACAAGGGGATGAGCTCATTAACTATAAGTACATTATCAGTAATCAGCCTACCTCTCAAGAAAACCGATTAGCAGGGGTGGATAAGCGCATCAAGAACCATCCTATACATGTTTGCAATTATCTTGCAGATGATTTGGTAAAAAACATTGTATAGGCCGATGGGTCGGAAATCCTTCATAACAATAGGGCATGTCACTTAGGAATCAAGCATACAAAACTTGAATTTAACTCTTTTAAGAACTTGCCTATCCCGGAAATCCTTGAGTGCATTCAAGAGGACAACTTCAAGAAGTTATTCAAGAGTTAAGAACTATTATTGTTGAGACTTTCTTACATTTCTTACTAGCACCCGTCACCCCATTTTTGAGGACTCATAGAAATACCTCGAATAGGACCACAATTCTTCGTACAACAATGTTGAACTACTTCAACAAGTCTACGCATGAGGTATCCAACAGCTTATGCTTGTACAACAGTATCCGCAACTCCTTTGCTGGTTCCGTAACAGGAAATGGATTATGATCAAAGGAGAAGATTATTCTTTTTTTACCAAACAAATTTGAAATAAACAAATTTTTCTTTTTACCAAACAGATTTGAAATGCTACTTATGTAGCTATAATATGGAGGTGTTTCCATAAATTACTTCCCAAGGCTTATTTTGAAAATAAAAGGCATGCGTCGTTAATGAGAATACCCATATTAGTGCTTTAACAAGACTAAAAATGATTCATCATTCACTCTTTTTTAATATTTATTTTGATAATAGGATTCTTAGTCATCAGTAAGCCTCTTATGTTTGGCTCATGTATATGTACTACATAACGATAATGGGTGAAATATGCCAGGCAGGCTTGGCAAGCCTCAAAGGCCCAACCTGAACATGGGCAAGAACCATGCCCCATAGTAGGACCCGTCAGGCTAGGCCAAGCCTGAATTAAGGCTCATTACTAAGGAGCCAAGCCTAGACCATAGTTCTAAGACTCAACAGGCCCTTATGATTTCATAAGGTGCAAATGGACTGGGCCGGCTTAGACATGAGCAGTTCTGGGCCCTTGATGGAATCCATCAAGCTAAGCCAGGCCCGAGTTTAACTTAATGGGTTGGGTCCAGCTCTGCGTCGGCTTTGGGCATTGCCTGGTTATAGCCCCACTTAGCCACAGTAAAGATTTTCATAATTTATTCTAAATAAGTTTTAAGGTTGAGTCAGCAAGGATTTTAGACTTACAATTTTTTTATACACCATTTACTATACATTCTAATTGTATAATATTTCCAATTTATTAACTTATTTTTATCTGATGCCTTGTTTTAGTTATTTCACATCACATCAAATCCACTAATCTACATTGCGAGGTAGATAAATCAACTGTCAAAAAACACGAGTCAGTTCATAAAATATATGTCTTAATAAAACGCATTTACACATGCGGTTTGTATAAGGCGGCAAACTTAAACAAAGGCATACCTCCAAATCATGCCACAAGATTTACCCCTAATTATATTAGAAGTTTAAAAATTGATGCAAGTCAAATAAACTTACACTTGAAAATCTTGTAAATAAAGAATCTAAATAAGGGTGAAGTTTGCATGAAGTTAAACAATCAAATAAGGCTTCAAATTTTATCATGAGATGCAATTTTGGTATCAAATAGTGTGAGAACCTATTTATATTTATATCTCTGATTATACAATTTAGACTACAAAAAATGGTTCACATCAAGCAAATCTAACAACAAATAAAAATCTTGAAAATGCACCGTCAAAATAATGTGTTACAAAATTTATTATTTTTATGACTTTAAATCTCCTGTTTTCTCCCTATTTATACATCTTGATACCGTGATAATCAATTAGATACTTTTCTTTCATCAAAACAACTTTTTTTTCCGAATGGTTTTAGAGGCACACCTTAATTCTAAATTTTAGTGTCAACCTTATATAAACTTTTTCCTCTAAATAATGCTTCACAATATATTTTTTGTTTATAACCCACAATTTTTTTTTTCTCATATCCATACATCTCGAAGTCAAGACGACTAATTAAAAGCTTTTTCAACACCAGAACAATGGATTTTTGAAGTGCATCTTATTTCTTCACACAATTATCCCGATAGTTCAACTTGTTTTTAAAATTATTTCAGTCAACATGCAACTGTCCTCTTGATATCAGATGCTCTCAAATTTTCAAACCAAACCGATCTAATGTTCCAGTTCCATAAGATCAGTCGGTTCACAAATTATATTTCTCTCACCTCTTCGCACTGAGCAAATAGCATACTAGCTCAGTAAAAGTAACCATACCCGTTTCAATAAGCAATTCCGATTACATAGAGGGGATGTGGCCATGGATGCATCTAGTTTGAACTCGGGAGTTTCAATGTCAAACTCTCCATGCCTTTCCCAACATATAGAAACCAGAGGGGGAAAACCAAACTGCAAAAAGCTTTAAAGATATCGAATATCAAACGCAATGTCCAGAAATCAATGTAGATTTGCTAGAAAGAGGCCACAAAAACTTCTAATTCCCCAGAAATCACCATCAGGATCTACTTGATCTTCTTCATCGGCCTCAACTGCAGCAACAAACATAAAGAGAAATGAGAGGAGTTTCTATTCCTAACACGATGGTGTTTTGTGTTCACAAGATAAAGATTCAGATGACAACATAATACATACCTGATTGCTGTGTCCACACTTCTTTTTCCGGCAATTCACAGCCCGAGGATGCAGACGTGCATAACACCTAAAAGGTCGACCGACAGTCAAAACAGATGTTAAAAGTATTCATTTTGCATAAACCTAAACAAGATAAAAATCTCAGGGAACAATACCCCCTTACTATTCACATTTACTAGGTTAAAACTACAAAATTCATATGGTTAAAGTGCTTCGATGGTTGTGACCAAGGTTTTCAAATCCAGAAAGTGCATCCGGATTTCCAATCCGGTTCAAATCAGCAATCCAGGTTACGGTGTTCACTAATATTAGTGACCACCCTATCACAAAATCCATGGCACTTTACTGATAACCACTTGCAACACTTTTATAAGAAGTATTGATATGTAAGAAAAGGCAATAACATCATCCAACACATGGACCATGTGTTGGTCCGGTGTCTAGGCATGCTCACAAGGGTCTAAAGAGTTGACCACCGACACTCAAAGAAAATTGGAGTGTCTAGGTAACAGTGTACCTCAATAGTCAATACTCTACTTCTTTTACTGTGTTGAGTATCGACACATTTAGACAGAGCTCCAAACCTTTGACCATACATGTCACTAGACATCTTTGTTACTTAGTACGTAATGACAATTCTTAAAAATGTGTGCATTTTATTAGGCACTGAGAGCCAATGGCTAACATTGTAGAGTGCACTTCAAATTAACAAGGAAATGAATTTAAATCCTGTGGTGAGCAATACTTTTTGTTGGGCTTAATTTTTTAATATATAATTGAGGCTGCATTTGTTAAATGCGTCACATTCAGCCCCAAAAGTTTGGAACCCACGACCTCTTGAAGAGGTATTGTGAAGTATAGCATCACGTCATTATGTCCAAGTGTTCAAGGTATGCAAATATTTTATCAGTAATATATAAAAGCATTACTTCCTATAGAAAAACGAAAAAATGCAATCCTTGAGGTTTCGAATCTGGTTATATTCATTAAGGGGCGGTGAGCTCCACCACAACAAAAAACCATAAATTTGTTAAATAAAATCTCCTCAACATCTCAATTTCATTAAAAAAACGCAGGTTCTAATATTGAATAATATTTGTACATGTTTTCCCGTATCAGATTTTTTAGATAAAGCACTATATACTCTTAACACGTACAAACATCCCGACAAGAGTGTCAGTGCCCATGTAACACTGATGCTAAAATGCCACGTAATAACAGCAAGCTCAAACACAATGCACATCTCATCCATATGATACCATAAATCAATATTGACAATATCACAATTAAATTTTCGGGATTCCAGCAAGGTGGATAGTATGAGATAATATTGCCAATCCTAGACAGACACGAGGGTATTTCAACAGAACAAAAACTTCGTTACTGCAGCCCTTAATGCAGCTAGAATTCAGCTAGATTTCGTTGGTTGGGGAAAAACGAGTTCCAGCTAGAATTCAATAAAATCTAAAACCATGTTAAAAGCAAGACAAAGAACTGGATTGACGATCCACACTTCCCCAATGGACATACTTCCTCTCTATAACAACATAAAATCTAAGTGTGTGGACATGACAGATGTCAGCACAAGTTCAGACATGCAAATACATATGTTTCAATATTTCTTGTAGTTAGTCTTTACTCTTTAGGCTGTCCCTCCATGCTACGCAAAACGTAACAAGCAATAACTTCAATCTCAAGCCAGGTTCCCTTAAAAACAGAGTATATGGAAAACAATGATTCAAAAATAAGGAACACAAAGATTAGACATATGTGACATGCATATTGTGTATGACGCACAGACTGGTCATCCATTCGAAGTACCATATGCTGTACATCCACTGACACAACATGGACTAATCTCCACTATCCCTTGATGAGGATGGACAGTCCGTGTCATAATATATATAGTATATATATTCACAACACATAATTAAACAATATTTTCCCTTTCACTGAACTCCTAATCCCTAAGCTTTTATTTTATGATTTACTCTGAATTGCTCAAATCATTGAGTCTATGTGATCATAACATCAAAACAATGTTTTTTATCATCGTGAACACAGCACCATGAATTCTTTCTTCCCAAACACCTTATTCCCTTAGGTTTTATATGCATTCTTCCTTGTGCCTTCTGGTCAAGAATGACAGGACAAAGTTCCCACTACAGAGATCCATGAGGGAAATGGGGATCAAACTTTAACAGACAACTAATTTTTCTTGAATTTAGAAGGCAAAAGTGCAGCGCTGGATAGAAGAGCATGAATTCCTAATGGGGAACCTCCACTTGAGATGGCAGACCATCTAAGGCTACCCACAAAACGTGGCATGCTAAGGATGGCGACCCTCAGGTGGGGCCAATGACTATGAAAATAGGCTTAAGCCTGGAGTCAAATCCTAGAATTATATCCTAGGCCATCACTAAGAAAGGGTTTGCTTAAGAGAAATTAGTAAGTTACAGTTTTCTTTTTAGTAAATGATTCCAGCTTTTTACTACTTTCCTATTTTTTTGGATGCTTCCTAATCTTGTAACAACGGTTAGTTCCATAAAAATATAAAGAAAAGTATATCTTTACTTTGAGAAAGAGGAAGATTTAGGAAAAAATTAGATTACTTCTTTCCCAAGAATGGACAAATCAAAACCTCTATAAATGACAGGTAAGCCCAAGGCAAGATTCAATGTAGAGATAGAAGATGAAAAAAAATAAGGCAAATGACACAGTCCCCCTTCCCTGAAACTTGTGATCCACTTGGACTCTCAAGTCTATGAAAACTGGACCTCATCATACTTTAAAAAAAGAAAAAAAAAAAAACGAGGCGGGGGACTGATACCCCCCTCCTATCTTCATCGACCTATTGTTTTACTAAAATGTCCCTTCACTTTCTACTAATGCCGACCTGTCCACTTCTGTCTCTCTCTCTCCCTTGACTCCCGCCTTTCCTCCATACTTATTTTCTCTCTCTACTGCTTCCCTTCCTCCACCCTTTCTCTCTCTCTACCCAACACTGAACAAGAGCTCTCTTTCTCACTCTCAAAAATCTCTTAAAACCAAACCATGTCTCCCTCCCTCTCTAAATTCCCCCAAAAAACCGAATTACCCGTTCATGCTATTTTTATCTCACAATGCTGTACTTCAAGATTAGCTAGTTGTAGCTTTTGAAATTTGCACGACATATAAGAACCAGGAAATGGGGCTAGACAATCCACGTTAAGTGCAACCGCATACACTTAAAAACAGATATTATTAACCTGAAATATTATGCCTAATATCGGCTGAGATCAGTGTTTCAAAAAGCGCTAGGCAGCACCTAGGCGATCGGGGGCTCCAAGCCGCCGCCTAGCGCCTAGGGGGGCCCAAAACCTAGGCGGCCCAGTAGAAAATTTTTTTTTGAGTTTCTCTCTCTAAAATAGGCTCTAATGGGTTTTAGGCTTCAAATGAACCTAAAACCCACAATTTTGCACCTTTAGTATTGAAAAAAGACCCAAAAATACCCTCAACGAGGGGCATTTCTGCCCACGGGCAGGGTGCAGGCCCTGGAAAGCTGCCAGGACGGGTGCCTATACGGGTTCCCGGGTGCCCTGGGATATCCACCTAGTTTGGCCGCCTAGGCCTGGGGGGGCAGGCCTTTTGGACCGCCTTGGCGGCCGTACAGGCAGTGGGCAATCTGCTTTTTGAAACACTGGCTGAGATGTACAGTGAAATAGGGGCATCAAAGAATATATTACGATATCTAACATCGTAAATCAAGAATCACTGTAAGAATTGAAGAAGGGAACATCCAATTTTGATGGATTTTCGTATCAACCAGAATGCGTGGAGCATTCTAGTTGATAATTCAATTTGTTTACAAAAGACGAGGCGTAGTTTCAACTACCAGTTTTCTGATATCAGTTAGAATTAATTCTACATAAAACACGTCCTTGTAGTGCCCGTAAACGATCGATCTCCTAGAAAAATTGCGAAGTGCTTTATTTCATTACAACCAATTACTAGACTTACACTTGTCTCAAGAACCCTTGATAGTCATAAAAGCATCCCAAATAGAAAAAGTAATAATAATAACCATGCAGAAAGAGAGCTTAGATCAAATGAATATCAAGAACATCCATTCTCAAAAAAAATATATTAAGAACACCACACATCCCATATCATCCAATTTCTCGTTCACCCCAAAAATGCATTGCCTTTTCAGGGCAACCTAAAAGCAAAATTTACTCAATGCAGGATGTTTGAAAATCAATATCAAATCCAGCACCAATTCTTCTACAGGCACCAGAACATTCCCAATTTTCCAAGCCATAAGAGGTATGAGGGTTGTTTAATGGGTACTCTCTTTACATCATAACCATGGAAAAGAATGAGAGACCAGAGCCCTAACTTGGTTTTGTGAAGAAGTTTTGAAAAAGAGAGAGCCAAGGTTTGGTTTCGGGTAGAGAGAGTGTGGATGAAGAAGGGAGAGGTAGGGAGCAAAAATAAGTTCGGGAAAAGGGGAGAGAGAGACAGTGAGAGACAAAGAATAGGACGGTGTTGGTAATATGAAAATAGTTATGGGGTATTATAGTAAAATATGTTGAAAAAGGTGGGAAGGGTTGTCAGTCCTTTTAAAGTGAGGGGGTGCATGGGGATTACGTAGAACAGGGGTTCTAAGTGGACCACAAGTTTCAGGGGAGACGACTGCCTCATTTACCAATAAATATTTGGTTTTCAAAATGCAATGTTGACTCCAGCGACCTGCTGATTTCTCTTCCAGTAATGCGGAAGCCATAACCCCTTTATTTTGTTAATTTGTTGATGTCTAACAAGATCAAGGAACTCTCACACACATGGTGTTGATTTCATGCACAGTTTGGTGCCATCGTCTTCACCTTCCTTATATTTGACCCTCGGCCACCTTATCCAAACCTAAAAATAGGTAAGATCTAAACTTTCTTCTTACAAACCCTAAACTACGAACACCACTATCTTCTTCATCCTCATCCTCTCCACCGCCCAAGCTCACAATTCCTGTCCAACCTAACTCAAAATACTTCATCCTATATTTACCCTAGCTTCTTTCATGAATTCCCT